TAGCGAAGTGGAGCATCGCTACCGAACTCTAGTCATGCCATCCTACTCAGTGACAGTGGCGACGGGAAATCAGTGGTTCGCAGGCACCGATGACTATATCTACCTTACCCTGGTGGGCTCAGCCGGCACGAGCGAGAGACACCTGCTTGACAAGCCCTTCTATAACGACTTCGAGCGGGGTGCTGTGAGTGAGGTGGTGGGCGGGCTGTGGAATCCCACCCTCGAGACCTGTTTAGGTGTACTCCATATGCTTCTCCACGTGCACCAGTTATTTGAGATTTGAGTTTTGCATCGACAAAAAGCCATTTCTCTCCTCGTCCCTCGGTAGTTCCCAGTCGATATTGGCTTTCTATTTGCAGTCTTACATCCTTTCTTCTGAGCTGACGAGGGATGCTTGCTTTCTGCTCCCCTGCCACGCACAGCACAATACTTTTTTGCCTCCTCAGTAGCAACTGCTGTGCCCAGAAAGCAAGCAAGTAACGATTATGAATGGTCATTTGCCTTCTGAGGGAGAGAGGGAAGTGCCATGTATCTTCTGAACTGTACTATGGCTGGGAGGTGGTGCAGCTGCTTAGGGACTTTCTGTTGCATGATGAATAGGAAAGCTATTTTGCAGGAGGGGACCCTATGTCCATTTGCTTGCTATCATTTGTTTTTCTGGACGGCCTAGGGGAAAATTGGCCATACAGTACGGTACTATCCAGAGGGAAAAACCCAGTATTCATATTTTCATCAGTTTAGTTGATCAGAAATCCCTGGTTTGCTGTATTAGGATTGTGAAGGTGAGCAAAATGATATTTGTAAGAAGCACTTGATCACTTTCTTTGTAGTTGCATGCAAGAAACTAGGCAGGGGGGAGGTTCCTCTAAGAATGTTTATGGTCCCATTAGGCCAAAAGAGGATGAAAATTCAAAAGGGAAGTTTTGAACAAAGCAGACAGGATGGCAGGTACTCCTTGCTGCTATCATTTGCCCAATCTTGCCCCATCTTCCTGCCAAGCTGTTAGGAAAAAAGAGCAATCACAAAAGGAAAATTGTCCTTGCAAGCAGCAGTTATTCATGCTTCTCTATGCCTTCTGTGGTTGTTATTGGTGGCAGAGAGGATTAGACCTAGTTTCTACTGTTGTCTCTTTCCCTCAACTGTGACTGACATTTTAGAGAGAAATGAACAAGAGATGATTACAGGGTGAAACATTTACTAAATGCTGAATGCTAATTGGCTCTCTTGCTTATTCTTTCTTTGGGCAGCTTACTAGACAGGATTCTACTCTGCAGATTCATGAGTGAGTGTGTATAACTTGCTATCAACTCCATATGGTTAGGTTTTGCCTCCAGCAAGGGAAATATATCCACATTTGTTGTAAACATAGTGTCTAGATACTTAATTAGATATTGCTAATGTGATAATATTTCACTAGATAATATAAAGGAAATCATTATGTAGCTACATAAACATATTTATCATATAATAAAATAATTTATTAGTTATAAATAAATGAAACTATTGATTATATATTACAAGCTAAATGTACAATGTATCACTGGTATAATTACTCAGGGAACAATTATTTTGATACTTGGTTTTGGATTAATCTTTGGTAACATTGCCAACTTCTTAAATACGGTTCATCGTGCGATTTTGTAATCATCTTTGCTGGATGGTTTCAGTTGCTCAAAACACTGCTGAAAGTACTGCAAAAGTGCTGTTTAGTTAATTATTTCCTGTTTGTATTTCCAGGACACATATTGATTACTCAAGTTCCCTTTTGATAGCCCCTAGATTGCTGTAAGAATTCACTTTCCATTTTGTGATGGAAAAGACAAAAATATTTTTTTCTCATGAAAATCCTGGCTGCATCATATATATTTGTGGCCCTGACTGGCATCAACTCCGGACTCATTGCATAGATCCACCCCACCAGTTAATATTGCCTTCATGCTTCTTTATCATTTATTTCACCCCCAATGTGTGTTTAGTCTCTCTCCCACATATGTTTTCTTTGTTCCATTATCACAGCATATCCTTCCATTGAAATAATTTAAATTTGTGGTTGAACTTCTGGCTTAGGAGGATTTGTATACCAAATATTGTATGGGAGCAAGAGATAAGGAAAGTCTGAAGGTATATTTACTTCATAGGTTTGATTCCTATTGAGCACCAGAAGGTAGCTGTGGCTAAGCCTCTGGCTCCAAAGCTTGGAGACTGACCCACAGTCTGGAGTCAAAGCAGAATTGGTCAGTCTTTTAGCTGTGTTCTGGAAATGAAAAACAGCTGAAACCAAAGCAGAAATAGAATCAGAATGGAGCAGGACTTCAGACCCTGGAGTAGAGCTGCTACATTCTCTGCTACCTTGAAATATGTGTTATATTTATTGCAAATGTAACAAAATGCAATATCTAATTTGTTTCTTAAGAATAAATTATATTGGCATATTTATTATCCAATAATGTCAGTCAGAAAATGTTGTTATCATACTAGTTTATATTTTCCCCCATGGCTCCAGAGCTGGAGCAGCAGCTTGGGGTCCCTGAAACAATTTAGACTCAGAGCTGAGGGCCTATCTTGGTTCTAGAGGTAGTCTGGACCCAGAGCATGACTACTAATGTCACTTCAGAGCTGGAGCTGACAAATCTGATAATTGCCAACCTGCTAGAAAGTTCTCCAGAGTGTGTGAAACCTTTCTGGGTTTTGCTACAAGGAGCTTGACAGATAATCAGAATCCTAATGGCATTCTGGTATAAGTCTCCTATTGCATCATGGATGTAAATATTTATACATGAAGATTGTGCAGCATAGATTTATATCCTGAATTACAAAATGTAATAATTAGATAACTCTATCTACATGAGCATTGTTGGAGGCAAACTGATACAAATTGCTAGGGAGTTTGGAGAATGTTGAGCTTCTCCAACAGTGTTACTTCTTTGCTTTTGTTAATGAAGTCTTCTCTGATAGCTCAGTAAGTTTTCCCTACAGCTCACTATGAACACTAATATCAAATAAATAGTCTTTATGTCAGCAATGTCCACAGGCTACAATGCCACAACACTGCTTTCATCAATCTGATAACCGCTCCCCCACCCCTGCTAATGGACACTGACGCTCTATGTGTACTACCACCTTCCTTTTCTGAATTTGACCATGGTCTTTTCTGGCTTTCAACTCTCGCCACCCAATAAACTGGCATACATGCATATAATAATTAAGGCAAAATATCCATAGGTATCATAAATTGAACCATTAGCAAGGAAGAAAATACAGGAGGTGCGCCTGTCCTCTTATTCCATTGCAGCTAAGTTTGCTCAGGACCTTTCAGTGTAAGCTTTTCTCAGTGGCTTTTTGACAATCCAAGTATACAATATCTATTGGGCATTTATGTATACTTGCTTGTTGACATCCTAGAAAATGTTTAGAACGTGTAGAATATGACATTATAGAAGTCTAGGAGATAAAGAAGATACAAAATATTAAGTATGAAATCTGGATATTCAATTTCACATCAACAAGCAAAAGATTTAATTATCCTCTGCACAAACTCCGTGTTCCCCAGATGCTTTAACTCCTTATACAGAAGATTAAACATTCTAGGAAGCTGTTTTTAAGATGGTTTGAGGAGAGTCTGATGCAACAGTTGGACTTTTTAGAAATATTAACCAATTCAAAATGAAAAAAAAAATCCCCCATGTATACACATCTCCCTTATGCATGGACCATAATTCCTCTGAAATTATTCTCTTCTCCCTTGCCATTTACAATCACTTTATTTTCCTATCACAGCTTTCTCTTTTTTATTTAATCCAGAGTAGGATACTTCTATTTGATTGATGTAGAGAAGAAGATTGTTTTTCTTTTCCTTCTCACCCAATTCCTCCTCCTCTGGAAAAACTATTATTCCCCCAATTGCAGATGAAATCATTGTTTTTTGTTTTGTCAACAGCAATTATCAAGCAATGGAATCATAACCTTTAATAAAAAGAAAAATTAATATGAGGGGTGAGATTAGACTTCTCATTATGTAAGTACCTACAGTTCTTAGAAATAGTCTCACTGTGGTTCAGTGGAGTTTACTCCCAGGAAAGTAGCCTAGAAGTGTAGCCACAGTTAATTTTGAAGGGAAATATGCAGTCCTATCCTCTACTCATTTACTTAGAAGTAAATTCTGCATTACAAACAGGCACCTACTTTAAAATCCACTGATTTAATTTTACTTTCAGTATTTTAGTTACATATGGTTTCTGTTTTTCATTTTTGAATGAACATTAGCTTGCAATTAGATTTGTGTTAACAGAAGTAGATCATATGAAAAGGCACTTCTGGTTATGTGAAGTTATTCAGTATTGAAGGAAAGACTCAGAGGCACTTTCTTCATATGTTGTATTTTAATCCTAGAACTGAAAAGGTACTGAATCCTGCTGCAGTTTTGACAGAAATTATGAGGAAAAGACAAGAAGAGGAGAAAATAGACAAAATAGAGGAAAAGAAAATATTCACATTTTACATAGAAGGGGTCTGGGAGCAACAGATTGTTGTGATGAGAGGAGCAAAATATATATAATATCTTTGTAGTTTCTTTGCAACAGATAGTCCATGCTTAATCTCAAGAACAGAAACGTTAGAGTTTTAATCTGCTGAGAGCGCCTTCCCTTCTCCCCCCCTCCACAAAAATTGGATTTTTATTGCTCAGTTTTGAGCCTGCATGGTTACAATGGCCTCAGTTTTGAGCCTGCATGGTTACATGGTTACAATGTTCCTAATCTCACAAGTCATAGTGAAGCCATTGGTCTGTCACACATGTGCAAATTAAGCCTCTTGTTAGTCATACTTGCCTTTTTTGTTTTTCCTTATACTTGTGAAATTTATTTAAATTCTAATAGCCCTTAATTTTCATATTTTAAATTTACACATCCAAATATTATGCAAATCTGTGTCATATTTGTGCTTTAAAGCTGCATGAATGAGAGGGGAGGGGGGTTCATCTACCCCTGTGGAAATCCAGGTTAATGTAATGAGATATATGCTATAGTCTTACAGTTTTTAAGGTAAAGACCCCCATCATATCACATTTTTCTTGCAACAGGATTGTACTGGCTATCCTTTTACAGCTAATGTGATGCACAGCAGGCACACTTCTTCAGACAAAGTTCTGCTTCTTTGCCAACTTTTGTTCCTGTTCTTATAAAAAATATTTTCTGTTGCAAAATATCCTACTTCCCCATCCCAGTTATGTCAAATAGTTCTCTTTTCCAGTGAACAATTAAAAAAAAATCAGCATGGTATAATTTCAAGGAATATAAATAAGTGAGGGTTTCAATAGTACCACAAACAAGGTATGAAAAGTGCAAAGTACATAGAGGGCACTATCTAGACCTATCAGACGCCTGGGTCCAGCCTTTTCAATTAGTCCTCTGCCCCTGCAAAGATTTGTACTAGCTGCCAGTTGAACACTGACCAAGAAGTGATATGCCCATTACAGTGGAATCACACAGAGCATTCCTGCCTGCAGATTCTCAGCAATACCTGAACAGAATACCGTATCCATTGTGTGCCCTGTAGCACACACAGGGCCAGAAATCAGTTGGGATAGGTCTTGTGCAGCATCCCCCATTCTGGCAACTCCAGATGTAAAGTTTCAACTTCAGTGGCTATGCTAGCTGGGGGGGTTCTGAGAGTTGTAGTCCTACACATCTGGATGTTGCCCAAGTTGGGAATACAGTTCTGCTATCATGATGGAGGACATGAACTGGCTGCTTTGGACATGTTTCACAACACAGCAAGGGCAATGGTGACAAGGCCCACTAAAACACATTGTAAAAGTCCTTTTTTTCCCCCCATCCCAGATTGATACTTATGATGTTACAGTGACAGAGGACTTGGGGGAGATCCAGCTGATAAAAATTGAAAAGCGGAAGTACTGGTTTCCTGATGACTGGTACCTTAAATATATCACTGTGAAAACACCAGTTGGGGACTACCTGGAGTTTCCATGTTACAGGTGGATTACAGATGAAAAAGAGGTGGTTCTCCGAGATGGTCGAGGTAAGCACTTTGCAATATTACATGAATAAGTGCACTCCTTGTTCTATGTGACAACCTTCAGATATTAGAACACTGCTAAACATCTTCACTGTCTCTTCTGTAGGCCAAACATACCCAGGTCTTTTAACTGTTCCTCTTTGGGCTTGGTTTTCAGTCTGCTCATCATCTTGGTAGCCATCCTCTTAACTCACTTCAGTTTGTCATTATCTTGAACTATGGCGCTCACAACTGGACACAGTACTCCAAATAGGGTCTGAACAGGGCAGAGTGGAACAGAGCAGGACTTTATGGGAAATGATATTCATGATTCCAACATTAACAGAAGATAATGTTGGAATCATGAATATCATTCCCCATGTTTCAGTGAAGCCTATCACATGATACTTGTTTTCCTGAGCTAGGATCTCTAGTTGTTTTGTTTTGTTTTTACACTCTGGGCATTGGCATAGAAACATCTGTGGTTTTGAGTGGTACCACCTACAGGCTTCTGTCCTTGAAACTCTATAGCCTGGCCTCCTACTTTTCTATTTGTGTTCTGCTTTTGAGCCCTTGGCTGCAATTCTGGGCTTTTGCCACCTTCCTCTTTTTGTTCTTCCCCTGTTGAGACTGGTAATGCACCTGCCAAACATTTTCTTCCAGTTGTGACCCATTTCTTTCCAGGAGTCTTCATGAAGGTAACATAGGCCATTTTCATTGAATCCAAATCCTTCTCAGTAACACAATCTAAGTAACCATTTCAATTTGCTGAATTCTAGGATCCTGTTTCTCTTCTTGTACTATGACCCTCAACTGGAAGGCTTAATGAAAAAACTACAGGTAGTCCTCGTTTAGCGACCACAATTGGGACCAGCAGCTCTATCATTAGCAAAGCGAAATCATGTGACCACAACTGTGCTTTTCTTTTCCCCACTCCCTCCCCCCTTTGGAATGCTCACCCTCTGGGGTGCTGGGATAGCCAGCTTGAAATTGACAAGACTAATCAGTTTCACACCTTTGGCTTTTGTTTGCCTCCTAACCACTCCTCCCTTTGGAATACTCACCCTGGTGCTGGGATAATGGGACTGGAAATAATGTTTGTATTTACATTCATTGGAGAGGAAGGAATTATAAGAGAGTAAGCAGGCACACAATGGGGAATACACTGGTCATAAATAAATAAAGGTCATAAATGCAGGCATTGGTAGTAAAGTTATTTTTTCAGCACCGTTGCAACTTTGAAAGGTAGTTGAATGAGGCAGTTGCTAAGTGCGGACTACTTGTGTTCCCTGTTCCTTCAGCATCCTACCCAAGGTCTAATTTTCTCTTGAGAATCTTTCAAGATCTCTTCTGACCATGTCATTTGTCCCCACACAAATCAGGAGGAAAGGATAGTTGTTGACAGAGAGAGGTTTGGGTAACCTCTCTGTCCATCAGCAATCCTATCACATTTTGGACATGGGCACCAGGAAGACAACAGACCTTACACAATGCCATATCAGATATACACATAGCTGTATCAGTTCTTCTCAGCAGGGAATCACCTGCAACCATGGCACACCTCTTCTTTCTTAATGTTGCCCTTGAGCTTCTTGATCCATGGGACTGCAAGTATCTTTCACAGTGTTCTGTGGTAGGATTAGCTCAGGTGGCTGCAGACTGTCCTCTAGGGAAAGTCTGGTATCCGATCCTGAGGTCCACTGGCACTGAGTGCCTCTTGATCTTCTTGCTTCTTTGAATCATATGTTTGCCTGTACTGCAAGGATTTCCCCCCCCCTTTTTCTATGGTGTTCACTTCTCTGAACACCATAGAAAAGGTACAGGGAATATTATCCTCCTTGATACGTTGCAGTGCAGAAACACTCCGGCTCCTTAGGTCCTCTTCTGACAAGGGAAGAACCTTGATTGCAGCAGGTGTGGTTTAGGTTCTTTATTCTTTATCTGGTCCCTGCCGTCACTTAGAAGATGTTAATTCCTTACAGGATTTTCTAGGAACTGGTATCTTGTATTCTAAGCAGAATTGTTTATTTGACTTTCTTATCCTGGCAAGGTATGTATGCCTTGGACATAGATAAGCAGTCTTTTCATAATCAAGGGTAAATCCAAGTAAACCTTATTGTGAGAAAGGGACTGAAAGCTTCTGCTTTCACATATACTGTTGTTTCATCCAAAGCAAGACAAACTCTGGGTTCAATGGTTATTGAAATAAACTGACTTCATATCTTCAGTTACGTTGGATAACTTCAATAAATCACGGTAAAATTAAACATAGTTCAGTGATAAGGCATAACATTAAACTTTGGCTAATCACAAATAGAATCAAAAGCTTTCAGTTTTTTGTTTGCAACTATGCCAGAGAGTTGGGAAGCTAAATTGGTGGCTTAAGCATAAACGAAGTCTCTTGTTTTAGTTTTATGATAAAAAATGGGAGGAAATCATGCCACTCTTTTTTGAAGGTGTAATGTTTGGTATTCATAGCTTGCTTATAGTCTGTGTGCCATCAATTGCCCACTCTGGCTTTAAAAGATTAGAGTTGTGCAGCATTTCAAACTTGAAGGCAAAAAAGTGCTTTTCAGAGCACTGGGATGATTAATAAGAATAATATTCTGTAGATGCTGTGGACTGAATTCCACGATTGACATAGTTGAATGATACAAAGTGTTTGAAAGGGACAGAAATAGTAAAAAGGAGGAAGAATTGCATTGTATATTAAAACTGTCTATACCTGCTCAGAAATCTGAGTGAATAAACTCAGCAATGTCATGAAGAACATTTGGGTTAAAAGAAATGAAAGAAAAGATAAAAGCAATACTTTTGTATTGCAATAGTTGGTGTCTGCTATCACTTGTCTGACCAAGGAGAAATGTTGATAATGACTTCCACACAATATAAAAATCCTTAAAGTAATACATACTCTGTAAATACCGAACATAACAAAATCCCTATACTCAGAAGACTGCTTTTGCATAAAGCCAACAGCAACTGTTGTCCTAATAGCTGGTCTGGTACTTGTGAATAAGATCTTGGAATAATAATTCATTGCAATCTGAATATAAGTAGTGTGAGCAGGGCGAATGGAATTTTAGAGGTGAATATGTGTAGTTCAGGGTTGAACTGCGGAGTCCTTGGGGTTCTCTGAGCTTGGTTCTTTTCTTGCAAATGTTTCATTACTTGGCTAGGTAACATCTTCAGTGCTGAAATGGGATGGGCTTTGCTCTCTATTTATATGCTGTGGTCTGCCTTGCCAGTGCTGGTGGGGGTGGGGGTTTTGTTTTGCTCCTCTGGCAGTTCCTTGATTAGCATATGTGTACTGCTTGATTTGGGGCCTGGTGGTAACCTTTGCTTATCTGGGTGATGATTGCTGGTGAGGCGATCTTCTGGTCTTTTGTCTCTT